TGTGCTTTTTTGGGAGAGGTGCATCTAAACCCCATCGAATAGTCCGATGTTTCCGGTCCCTTGCTCTAGTCAAGTCCCTTGCTCAAGGCAGGATCATCCCTGACTAAACCATCCCAGCCAAGTGTCTGTCTAACCTGCTCTTGAAAATTTCCAAGGATGAAGATTCCACAATTTCTCTAGGCAGCTTGATCCACAGCCTGACCACCCTCACAGTCACAGAGTTCTCCTAGGGCATTTTTACACATGCTCCAGGGGTCGGGGAAAGAGGGGGGCACTTTAATTAGAGCATCTCCAAGAGCCACTGTAATTAAAGCACCAGCAGCATCTCTTGTATCAGCATCTCCATGCTTCAAAAGGGTGGTGGGGGCACCTTCACTACAGCTTGTCAAACAAACTTTAGTTAAAGCACCCCCCGCTGCCATTTTGAAGTGCAAGGATGCTGATGACTAAGACACGGAGGCTGCTGGAGGGCATTAATTAGCACACTCCAGCAGACTCAATTAATTGAATCTGGTCTGATGCACTATAATTACAGCATGTCAGAGCAGCCTCTGTACATGTCAACAGGCACCCTTAATCTATAACTTAAATTTCCTCTCCTGCAGCTTGAGGCCATGGCTCCTAATTCTGTCCCCTATGGCTACGTAGAAAAGCCTATCTCCATTCTCCCTGTAACCACCCTCCAGGTATTTGAAGACTGTTATCAACCCCCTTCCCCCACAGTTTTTTCTTCTCCAACCTAAATAACTCCAGTTCTTTCAGCCTTTTCTCATAAGTCTTGCCTCCCATGCCCCTAATCATGGTTGTTGCTCTGTGCTGGACTTGTTTCAAACTGTCCACATTCTTCTTGAAGTGTGGAGCCAAAAACTGGATGCACCACTCCAAGTGAGGCCTTAGCAGTGCAGAATAAAGCAGAAGAATTGCTTCCCTTGATTTGCAAAGTGACTCCTTTTAATACAACACAGCACACTGTCAGATTTTTTTGCAATAAGAGAATACCATTGGCTAACATTCAGCTTATGATCCACTGTAACGCCCAGGTCCTTCTTTGTAGTACTCAAGCCTAGTAATTTATTCCCCACTCTGTATTTTTGCATGAAATTGTGTCCCAAATGCAGGACTTTGCTTTTGTCCACAATCAGTCAAATGAAATTCAGCAAGGAGCATTCCTCCAGGGTATTCAGATCATTCTGGATCCTAGCCATCACTCCTGGAGTATCTGCTATTCCACCCAACTTGGTGTCATCCACATATTTTCTAAATGTGCACTTGATCCCATTATCAGCGGTGCATGGATAGAGATTTTGGGGGCCAATCCCGAAAGACAATATTTAAGGAGGCATATTGGCCACTACCAATCTGATATCTGATACAGTTGCCTCCAGGTGGTGGAAGGGGAGGTGGGAGAGAGGGGTCATGGGGGGGGCAGATCAACATCTCCTGTGGTGAGAGAGGGGGCAGGGGCAGGCATTGTCCAGGCGG